TTTGCTAACTTATCCCCCACACCTATAGAGCTAATTTCTTTTTACAAGCCTTTTATATGGCACCTTGTCAAATGCTTTCTGAAACTTAGATACACCAAATCTACACCCTTACCCTCATCTACATAAGCAGTAACCATTTCAAAGAATGTTAAAAGATTTGTAATGCAAGATTTTCCCTTAGTGGAACCATGTTGACTATTCAATAAAATTCTAAACTTTGTTAATTGACTTTGCAAATGAGTCTATAATTACTGGGACAATTTTTATCACCTCCCTTGAAAAGAGAAGTTACATTAGCTAACTTCCAATCCTCTGGTACCTGCCAAGGACTGACAAAAAATAGTAGCAAGTGGCTCACATAACCAATCTTTAACTGCCTTCAAAACCATTGGGGAAAAATTATCTGGCCCATGAGTCTTATCATTTTTTAAACTTACCAATTTTTTCTTAACCAGCTCAGAATTATGCAGTCATCTTGTTTGATTTCCTTTCCATTTATTAACTGATCAAGATGTGGAATACTGCTTAAACCTTCATTAGTAAAACGCGAAGAAAAAGTAAAATTTAATAACCCAGCCATCTCATAATCATCAGATACTAGCCTTCCTTTAACATCCTTCAAGGGTCCTATCCCTATCCTAACATTTTGTTTACCTTTAATGTATTTAAAGCAATCCTTACTGTTAATTTTTACATTTTCAGCCAACTTTTTCTCATACATCCTTTTTGATGTCCTAATTTCATGTTTCAACAACTTTTTTGATCTTCTATAATCTTCAAAGTCTCCTGTCATACCAGTCAATTTAAATTTCTTAAATGTATGCAAAGGTCTAAAGTACCCCACAACCCTCTGTATTCTTTCACCCAGTCAATCTTCTGTCCAATGAGCCAACTTATCCCCCACAGCTACAGAGATATTTGTTTTAAACAAGCCCTTTATGTGGCATCTTGTCAAATACTTTATGAAAATTCAGATACACCAAATCTACACTTGTACCCTCATCTACATAAATAGTAAAAGGAATGTTAAAAGAATAGTAAGGCAGGATTTTTCCCATGCTGATTATCCAACAAAATTTTAAATTTTATTAAATGACTTTGCAAAGCATCTTTTATCAGACTTTCAAAAACTTTTACCACCACTAATGCACGACTAATAGGTCTATAATTACAGAGACAATTTGCATCACCTCTCTTGAAAAGAGAAATAACATTAACCAACTTCCAATCTCCTGATAGCTATCCATTATTCAAGAACTTACACACACACACACACAAAATAATAAAAAATTAACAGTAGCAAGTGGCTCAAATATTCAGTCCTTTACCTCCTACAAAACTTTTGGGTAAATATTATCTAGCTCAGGAGATTTATCATTCTTTAAAATTCCCAATTATTTCTTCACAAGTTCAGAATTAATGTGATCATTTTGTTTGATCTTGTTTCCATCTGTCAAATGCTCAGGATAATGAATATTGCTTAAATTTAAAACTTGATTTATTAACAGTTTTGAAACCAAGTATATTCACATACATTGATAACAAAGTAGTTTAAATTTTGAATGTAACTGTAAAAGTTGTGACGTGTGCACTTTTACCTACCCCTATCAAGAGAGATAATGTAATAACATATTTAGTCTTATTTCACATTCCACTACATGGGCTTGCTAATACAGAGATGTGTTCTTTTTTACTAATCTATAAAAAAAGTTCCAACCACATGTCAAACTTTACAATGCAAGACACACATAATTCACATATGAGCATATAACAGTGTCACAACATCACTGTAACCAGACACTAGCTACTTCTACATCACAATATGAAGATGTCAATCTAGGATCTATTCATTGAAAATTTGTCATTTATTTAGCTGATAGGTAAAATTGAGGTGTTCTTAGAAAGTAAAATTTGAAGTGATTCAAAGAAAAATATGTACCTGTATAATGAGATAGTGATTTACAAAGCTTCTGTTGTGACTTTTCCATGTTTCATTGAATAAAATATCTCAGCTAAATTTACTTCTGAAATATTACTTACCCTCTGATAACATGATGGAAGAGTTTTATCCAACTCAAAGGGAGTTCTTTGCATCAGGATACAAATAGAATTTTTCAAAAGGGGTAAAACGCTGAAACAAATTTAATGTGAAAATAATTTAATGAAATCAAACTAATAATACCCATACTTCTTCACATCCAAGTAATAAAATTTTAAAAAATACTTAAAAAAAGTTGAGACTACAAATCAAATTTGAAAAATGTAGATAAAATTTTAGAAATTGTTATTGGTTCTTTTCTATACGACAATGTCAAATGAAATGTTTTAATGAAATAACCTGCTGTTGAAATGCTAAAATTATGCTACATAGGTTCTAAGTGCATTAATAATAAAATTATAACTATAGTGCTCACGATTGTCTATTTAATTTACAAAACATGACACAATCAACATATGGGCAGGCCATCACACGATGATTGAGTGTAGATCAAAGGATGGTACCGTGGTAATGAAACAGAGAGAAATTATAAATAAATACATTCTTTCCAACTGTATTTACGTCAGTCAAAGACAGTTGGGAAGCTTAACTTTGCAAAGTGAAAGTTTGAAATAAGTTGATGATATGAAGATAAATCGCAAAACAAGAAACCTAAGAACTTGAATGTTTTCAGAAGTTGGTTGTTCCTTCTTTATGGCTCATCAAATTAGCTAACACAGTGACTCCTACATTGTCCATGCTTATGCATACAGAAACAAACCTACAATACAAAAACATTTGTCCCTGAAGATACACAGCTTTTTTTCCAAAAGTGATTTGTTTACTGGGCTTCTTGTTTATTGGAAATCAAACAATACACATAATACTGTGTATTCAGTCATACTGGATGAGGCAGTCTTAAACTTCATACAATATACAGTGTGAAGAGATAAGCAATTTTATAGCTTTTTTCATTTAAATTATATAACTTGTATTCCTCATTACCAAAATCTGTGATCTTATACACATTTTTCTATTCATATCACAATATGTTTTGCCACATAAAATATTCTGTATTTCAAACACTATTAATCAACAAAAATAATTACCTGTATGTACTTTTGATTCATGTAATGAAGATACCAGTTATCCCTTCAAATGCAAGTAACAGTGGTTACTCCAATCAATATAATAACAGTATCAGTTACACTTTCAAATTCATAATTACTAAACTATGCTATTCCACAGCCTTGTTTTTAAAAAAAATTTTTTTACACGAGTTTATAAAATATACGTTGCACTCACTCACTAATCAGTGCTTAGTATAAAAGCAAAAGGATGCATATTCATTTTCAAACATATATGTTCCGATATTGGCATTTCAGTTCAGAAACTGATATTATATTTGTGCTTTACCTAAAGGGGATCAGACTAAATGATAGAAAAATTGGAGGATATAATTTGTTAATTATGTGGATTAGGTTTTCCAATTAAAATTTATTTGTAAATAAAACATTTCTGATGTGCAAACTTTAAATTTAAGGTGTAATTCATAATGAGTGTACAAGCCAAATACAATCAGCCATGGGAAGAAAAGTGACTCACAAGCTTCTGGTTAATTGGACCACACTGTTTTAAAAAATACAAAAAGAAGATAATTTCATGACTTCATTTTAATAAGAAGCTTTGCTTACCTAAAACCAATCAATGTGGAAATAAACATAGAACAAATAGGATCAGCAATCATCAACCCAAACTGACTCATCAGAACAGCTGATACAATTACACCTACACTACCCAAGGTATCAGCAAGGATATGGAGAAACACACCTACAATAAAATCAAACACTACATGTTAATGAGTATTTTTATGTATTCACTTACATGACTAATTAGTCAAAGGAATTATCAGTAAATATTATTCCAAAAATATCATCAATTTTTTCCATAACTGTAATCAAGGTTCCTTAAAATTCTTCCCTAATTTTTCATTGTGTCTGACTAGTTGAGAACAACACAGTGACACATCTCAAGCAACAAAACCCAATAGTTAATATTAAAACTACCTTTTTCTTTATTTTTCTATTACCTCCCCCCCTTTTTACTTTGCCTTTTTTTGCTTTTTTCCTTCTCAATTTTAGATTTTTATATTTTGTATATTTACTTGGAAGAATATTCATTTCTGAATGTGGATAATGGAAAAAAGAAACACTATAAGAACTGAGTTAGATGGCTAAATATTCTGTTTATACTTTTTGTATGAAATTTATATGTCCATGATACTATGCAAGTAAGTTTGAAACTTTATTACTGTATTTCAAACAATTTTATTTTTGCTTTTATAGAGGAGTACATTTTATGGGCTGAATGGGCTAATTTTCCTCATCGTGATAAATTGCCCACAGAATTTTTTACATTAAATAACAAGTAATATACTATAACTAAAACTCAGGGGGAAAGCAATCGTTGTAAATACACAAAGATCCAGGCTTACGAAACTAAAAATCGGGTTTTCGATGCCCATTGTGTAGATTTGTGCTTCGCAAAGACCAAACAAAACATATAACAATTACTTTTTCTTAACAAAACTAAAGGCAGTATTTTTTCCACAATGACTTTGTAATTTGATTATGTTAATTTGTTACTTTTAATTCGCATACCAAATTACATGTGTTGAAATAAAATCACAAGAACATTTACAGATATTTTCAAATACTAATAAAGAAAAATTAAATAAAAAGACCTGGCTTAATAAAGAAAAACCCTGTAAATATTTTTCACCAAAGAGAAATCTCTACACTCATATATTTCTGGTAATTTCTAATTTTATTCACATTTATGCTTATTTAATCAAATTATCTATCTGGAGGAGATGCATTTAACTGAGAAAATGTTACACTGCAATAACATACAAGTTAATAACATGACATGTAGTAATTAGATATATCCAATAAAAAACTTAATAAATACTTATATAAATAGATAATGCCTTAAAAACTACAATTTTATTTTAACAAGTGCTTTCATTTTACAAAAAACCATCTAACTCCAAAGAAACTAACCTTCCATGATTTGACTCTGTGGAGCTTCAGTTGTCTTATGATCATCATCATGTTTGTTATCCTCTAGTCCTACACACAAGCATTTATCATTCATTATATACTTCAGTAATGCATCATTAATTTACATTAATTGTAAAAAGACAGTTCATACCTAACATACAAGTTACTATACAATATAGCCAAAAACTTGTCAATATATATAGAAACTACATAACAGTGTATGTATGTTAGTTAAACTCACTAGACCGCTTGCAAATAGAACTGGACACAAAACAATGACTTTAACCCTACATGTAAGGGAGTCAATCAACTGAAGAATTAATATTTATGATAATGTTGAATTTACTTAGTGCATCTTCATGAAATTTGGTAAGCTTTAGTAAAAATTACAAATTTGTTTTACACAAAAAAAAATCTGAAATTTTTAATAAAGTATTTCTACTAAGATTTGTCACTGAATTAACTTTAGTCAGATAGACTCAGACTAGTATGATTTTCATAAAATAATACTTTTTTTATCTTAGTTATCAAATTTAATTTGCATAACCTCTACAACCTCCAAAATGAATATGAAAGCACACTTTGAACCCCTATCTGTGAACATGGGTTTAATGAAGATCAATTATGCTTTTGGATGGCATAAAAACTATAAGGTTTGAAACCTAATGGATTTACTGATTTGTAATAGTTATGTATATGCTAAAAACAAAGACAGATAAGATAAAGCTCAGGAACAAACTACAATGTAAAATATACCTTTACCTGTAAGAGAGGTTTTAGCAAAAGTAAGACTCATTCAATGATAGGAATACAAAGTCTAACTTATATACAAAAAACTCTTAAATTTGAAAAAAGATTAAAAGCAGATATAGGTGCTCAAGACAACAATGCCCCATATTTAGAACTACCTTCCACTGTCTGCAGCTTGTTGTGAGAAGGTAGATGCTCCTAACGAAACACATTTATAAATATAAAAATTCAGTTAAAACAGGTTACTACAACCAGACCAATATGGATGTACAACTTTTTCTCTCTCTCTCTCTTTCCAAAAGTTGGCATCCCAGTCCACATAATGACCACAAAATAATAGTTCACAACTAAACAATTCATAAAATAAAATATTTCTTAGCCATCCCCTCAGTTAATACATATGCCAAGAAAGTGCCAGGTATCCATTACTGAGCATGACACAAGGTTGTTGTGTCTTACATTCAAAATTTTATTAAACTACTTTTTGTTTATGTTATACCAATTAGTATAGCATAAAATCTTAGCAAATAATCCATATTTTAATATATATAAGTTTTAAGTTCTTAATTCTATAAGGCAATGTTTTAAAAAATCCTGAATTTTCCCTAGTGTGACACATTTTCTCTAGATATCTTTTCTTCTCTATTTTATCTATCACCCCCCCCAAAAAAAAGTAAGAAATTCAACATAAATTATTCATTATAAAATTGTCATTTTAGTTACAGAGCTATCAAATAGAAAATCAGACCCTCCTGCCACACCCTCTCTTTCAGGATTTGTCAATAGTTCTCTCTTATGTTTAATTACATGTTACCTATAACCAATAGAAAGCGAAGGTTTTCATCTATCAAATGACGTATTGTATAACATTGTGTTCTGAACAGATAAGGGTCAATTTCACTTATAATACGTGGTTCATTCCCCTGGGAAAGTTAATGACTAGTTTGGATGGATTTGTAATGGCTCTTGTCGCATAGCTAAAAAGCCAAAAAAAGTTTGAGTTAGAGGAAAAAAAGATTGGGTAAGTACTTGTACTTCTTGTTTTTCATGTTTATTCTTTATTTATTATAATAAAAGTAACTCAAATGTAAAAATAGGGATCTATTTAGGTTAATTAAGGTGAGATTAGGTAAAATAAACAACAATAATATTATAATAAAAATATTTCATGAGCACGCACGTGAGCAGCTCGGAGTAACTCATGGGTAATGTAATTTGAAAGTGTAACGTAAGCTGCATGTTTCCCAAGTGATTTACAACTTATAAAGGCACAAATAGTAGTTAGACATGGTTCAAATGGCAATCAAAAAGGCAATAACACAATAAAATTTAATTATAAACATGTGTATACTGTTACAAGTTCAAAGCTACTTAGAATAAACGAATATAGTTTCATGCTACAAAAAAAAAAAAAGGGTAATTTAGATAAATTTAGATAATTTTTTGATGGTTACGAGGTCAGTCAAATTGTCCAACCTTGTATAGAGTTAGGGTAGAGAAAATTACTGATAAAATATAAAGTTTTGTTGAAAACAACCATTTGAAATGTATTTAGGAGGTTTTAGAGATTACACAAATGAAATTTGAGATTTTTGAGATGAAGAAAAGTATATTTAAGTTTATAAATTAATCTAGACCTGCAAGAGATGCCATTTCCATTCGCAGAAGCCAAACACTGAGAAATCAGTTAAAGAAAATAAATAACCAGCAAATTTCTTTAAAACAAATGGTATTCCAACCATGATTGACTTAAATAATGATTTCAAAGATAAACTGAAATGGGACTTCATTTCCAAAATGATTATGGATGATAATTTTTAAATGAAGAACTTTAGCCCTTTCTGGATCAGAGGAGGTGTCACTGATATTCCTTTTTTTTTCTTTTATAGATGTTTCCAAAGCTGTGAATGATCAGACCACATGATATGAACTCATAAAGGGAGGCAACCAAGGCATGTACAAAACTAAAGCTTAACAATTGAAGGGAAATCACTTGAGAAACAAAACATATATAATGTTTTTCAAGGGGTAGTGTTCTTCAAAAGTTTGTAGCTATTCTTTGTAATGATTAGTAAAAGCATAAAAGATATTAACTAGTGCACCAGAATACATCTCAGAGTATCTAAAATTATAACATTTCCTTGGGCGGAGCAACCATGTTCAGGTGGAACTTGATTACAAAATATAAACCAAAGAGACTAATATGAATAGAGTAATAATGTTTAATAAGACTTAAAGAATAACTAGAATCACCTGATTATGAGCTGATCCAATAAGAGTGTTTAGCATGAAAAGTGATATAAAAAGCAATGCAACATGCAGACTTAAGGAAGGTTGCAACAATAAAAACAGGCACATTCATGAATATTGCACATCAAGTCAGTTATCTGTCTGTACTAGAAGTTAAACAGAATAGAGGAATATGCAAAATTACACTAAAGATAGAAAGTATACACATACTTAACATGTACATTTAAATAATGTAAGAACCTGAAAAAGCATATGTAAACCCTTCATAAAAGGACAATAGTGACAATAAAAATACTATTCAATACTTAAAGATCATCCTGTATCATAAGAAATATATAAACTAAGGGATGATCCCTCAATATGAGTATAAACCTGTATAAGGGTCATCTAAAAAGTGAGGAATCCCAAAAGGACATTGAATGGAAAAATAAAGATAAGTGATAATGTAAAACATTTTATCTTATCAGTCAAAAAAAAACTAAAATAGCATTACTGCATTGAAAAGCAACAGAAAAATACACCAGACTTAAAGCCATAAGCCTGAAAAAGAGAGCATAGACAAGTAGTAAAATGCAAAAACAAAAACATTCCTATGAATAAAAGTTCTGAAAGGTATAAAGATTCTAATACCAGAATGTTATTTTATATGCAATATTTCTGTACAGTTGCAATAAAGCTACATATACATATATATGTTAGATGTACCATGTTATATGTATATTGAAACCTATATAAAATTGAACCACTCAAAGTTTCTTCTTTTTTAGATTAAGATAAAATATTCAATCACATAAGACACAAAATTATAATCCAGTTAGCTGGTAAAAATGGAGTATCTGTTATTCAGTCAACTAACTAAAACTAAAGTAAAAGATCAACATTTCCAGTAAACACACTATTATTAAAAATTTACATTGAATTAGTTGAAAACTTAAAAGAAATCTCTTCTGCTCATGGATAATCTGTAAGATCCAAACTAAAAAGATAAATCACACTAGTCAAAAAAGTTCAAGCATATGAAACAGAATCCAAATAATGATGATGACCAAAAAATGTTACTCAAGAAATCTCAGAGAATAGTAATACAGAATTATAATTTTCTGACTGAATTAAATATAAAAGTAGGATTATTCAAACTTAAAAAGGAAATCATGATGATGAGTATAAAGTCACCAGAGTTTGAAAGTAATAATTTTAAACAATCTAAAGGCAAAAACATAGGGAAAAAAATCATGACTCTCTACACACAAGTTCAAGAAGGTAGAAGGCTGGAACTTAAAAGAAGGTTCACTGTAGTGTTAACATTTGTGATAGAATCTAAATAGTTAATGAAATCAGATACTATATTGTAATTTTCAAATAAGTAAAGGAAAGAGAATTAAGAAACATTAACTCATAACTAATAAAAGATGTAGACCAAACATAAAATGAAGAAATAATGAATTATAAATTATCTCACTAACAACTACATATTTAAGAAAAATGTCACAACTTTGTAAGCTCAACAAATTAGTAACAATTAACTGTAAATACTATATTTTTTGAAATCTAAGAATAAACACAAAAATGTCAAAATATATTTTGCTGAGAAATCTCAACCTTAGAACATTATCTGTATACATAACAATCTATATTGTGAATCAAACATTATTTCTAATCACTATTAGTGATCGTCAGGCTGTATGATATTAGAAAATAGAATTACCTTTGAGTTGACAACAGTAGTGATTATATGCAATTAGATTTAACTTGCCAGCAATAATGTTGTTAAGACATAAAACCACTGGTAATACACAAGGTAGAACAAAATAAGTTTCATAAAGGACTTCAAAAGACAAGTACTTACCATAACCATGACTATGTTCATGTCCATGGCTATGTTCATGTCCATGGCTATGTGAGTGAGAGTGTGAATGGTCATGGGAATGTTCTCCTGAAACATATTATCATTAATCTTACTAAATGTTAGATTTCAAAACTCATTTTATTACTGTAGATATAATTTTTATGATGCATTTTGAGTAAAATGTTTTATCTAAATTTCTTAAGCTTCTTCATCATTATGAATAAACAACTAAAAGTACCTCCATGAGAATGACCATGTCCATGGCCATGTTGAAAAGCAAATATTCCTATTATATTCACAAAAAGTCCAAGAACAGATACCAAAAATAGCCTCTCATGTTTGACTTCTGGTGGTTCAATGGCTCTCTGAAATGGAAACATTATCTAGCATAACTGTAACAGTTAAAATTATTAGTCAGTTTAAAAAAATTAATTGATGGAACTGAAATAATAATTAGTGCAGAAATTAAACCCTTCAAGACTACTGAAAACTCTCCTCATTGTTTTTAAATTAAGTCTGGTATTAATTTCTCTTCTCTCAATTGCACAGATTAGCATTTTTAAAATGCCACTGTTGTGATGTACATAAAGGTTTAAGTTTTTCACATCTTGTAAAACATTTTTGTCACACAGAACAATTGCAGCACATATTTTACAAATAATATTAAATTTTGAGACAAATATCTTTTATTATACCCTTATTATCTATCCTTCTGTGGTAGATATTAACTTGCAGCTTAAATGCAAATCTAAAATATTCATAAACATACAATTAAAACAATAACAATGAAATAGTTTTGCAAAAATAGCCATTTAGCTGATCAATTAATTAGACACTTTGTAAGTAATAATTATTCAAATATTCACAAAACTAATAATTTATATATTAAGTTAAATTCAACCAATAACCAAGTTGGAAAATGAGAATATCATTTGTTTTTGTTTGTTTCAGATATTCATGCAAAGCCACACAAGACCTATCTGAGCTAGGCATCACAAATTTTGATTAAAGAAAGCAGTTAGTCAACAACATCCACTTCTAACTCTTGAACTACTCTAAATCAAAGAGTGGAATTTGACTTCATTCTTATAAGGCACCAATGGCTCTAATGTGCTGGACACAATTTTTTGACAACTGGATATGATCCATGGACCCTCTGATTCACAGTCTGGAATGCTAACCACTAGGCCATGCTTGGCTCAACACAAAATAGGAAACAAAAAAGTTTTACAGTACCCCAGGCTTTCATACAGCTAAAAAGGCCTTCCTCAGGAAGTTTCTACCAGAGTAGAAGATTGGGACATGATAACACACATTTTCTTCACTAAGTCTTAAAATAAAAGAAATCAAGTGTATGTGTTGTACGAACAATGTGTACACAAAACACAAACAAATAAAAGAATGGCACAAACTGCAGATAAGAAAAGGTAAAAAAAGTGTCCTGATGGGATAGATAGCTGTGAAAGTTGAATTAAAATAGGTATAAAAATCCTATTAATACTGTATGTTTATTTAAAAAAGATTCCTTATAACATATTTTTCACATTTACATACAATAAAAAATTAACATGTTCGAGCAATCTTACCTCAACAGCTTCAGAGAAGATGAAAAATGCAATGAACAATAGAAAAAGACCGTTAACAAACCCTGCAAGAACCTCAGCACGAACATAACTGAAATTAAAAAAATAATAAAATGCATTTTTGTACACCTTGGCACAACAATCAACAAAATAAAAATATACAATAAAATAGTGTTAAAACATTGTAAAAAACTTATAACATATTTAATTAAAAACTTAGCACAGCAAATTGAATTGCGATTGAATTGAGAAAACTTTTCATTACAGATTACTTTACAGTTCATGAAATTTAATTTCAACATGAAATATAATCAACCCCAAACAGCAGGGTCAGTCTAGCACTGATGTTGCATGCTTAATATCAGTGTTGATAATATCATCAACTACTTCTGTGAAAGAGCTGTTTCCAGGCATCTTTAGTGTTTGGAATCACCTAATGAAGTGTAAAATCTCCCAGGAACATCCAATACTTTTCACAGGATTGAAATCTGGTGAACATCCAAACCATTTCCTTCTGTCAATTCCCTGTTTCTAAAGGAATGTGTTGAGCAGTTTAGCATGGTAGAGGGGAAACATTATCATGCAATGGACTAAAGTCAGGGCCAAATGTATCAGCATTAAGAAACACAAAAGGATAGCACATAGTCCTTCAAATATGTAGCATTAACAGAACCATTCCAGGGGACAGAGATTTGGTATGCATTCATCAGTGCTTATTTTTGCTTACACCATACTTCTACCACTACCATATGTATCACGTTCCTGTACGAAAAGAGGTTGGATCTAATTTAAGAATCCCTACAAATGAGTATATGTCTATTATCTGATTGCAGAGGGAAGCACAGTTCAGCTGCAAAAAAAGATATTGCCCTAATTGTCATTCGTCCACTGGATATATTACTTGCAAGCAAGCTCTTTTATGCTTTACTGTGAGCAAATTGCACCTCACAGAGCATCTATTGTAGAGGCCAGCCTTGTGAAGTTTGGTTTTAAAGGTATATATAATGACAAGGCATCCCCTTGCAGCTAAATACACTGAGTGAAACAAACCAAAATCAGCAAATAGCATTTACCTGCTTGTGATGTTTATGACATTCTGTTTTGTCCACTTGTTCAACAAAACTTTGAAACATTATGACCAGCAAAGGATTGCTGTGATTGATCCATTCAACTGATATGTCTCTCCATGCAAATGAAACATCTGAATGTTTTCTTTGAAGTCTAGCCATGGCATGACTCAAACATTATGGGGCATTCCAAGCTGTGTGATTTCCTTCAAAGTAACAGCTGAGATGAGATTAAGTGAGACCAGTATACAGCATAAGCTGAATAAGCGATGATTTGTATTTCAAGGTAAATGACTCATCAGAAGATGCCCGATTTGCATAACAATGAACTGAGGAGTGATTTATATTATTTAATAACAGTGGTTTTTACCTTTTCATAGTTTATTACATTACAAATTTCATATTTATTAGTTGTTTTGTGTAATATCCATATTCAAAATATTCTACAATTCTTTCACCAAAAGCCAGTTTCATACACGTGTCAATGGAATGATACAACTTGACAATCCTTGTCTGATTTTGTATTCCAGGGGTAAAAGTACAAAATATACACACATGAGATCATTCTTACTTGAAATGATACAACAGACAACAGCTTTGATAAACACTCCTTTCTTGACAAGGCCTTTTATTAAATTTTTTTAGGGTTTTTCATATCTTAATCCTTTAGCACTGATCAGATTACAACTGCTATTGCTGAAATACTTTCTTCACTCTAAAATTACTTTGTGACACTCTGCATAATAGTGTATCCATAAGTATGCATTTTCTTGGTACTAATTAGAAGCTAATACTATAATCTTACCCATAGGAAAATCTCTCATTGGCTCTCCACTTAGTTATCACAGAAGCAGCCAGCCCTGCCAATAAGGCTGTACAGTCAAAAAACATGTGAAAAGAATCTGATATCAAACCTAAGCTGGAAAAAAAAAGAGGAAAAACATTAAAAATGTCAGGAAATAAATGATCATATGCAAAATTCTGAAATGTATTTATTGTTTTATACACTTTTATGTTACAAGGAGGAAAAAAAAAAAGGTTGGCTTGCTTTATGCCTATAGATATAACAAACAAAGAAATTTGAAACTAAACACACTTCTTGGCTTTAAAAAAAAATTTTTCTGCATGAGCATTGCAAAAGTTTAAATAATTTTAAAATCTTTCTTTACGTGAGACTCACAACCAATAGTATGTAATGTAAAACACACAATAAGCATTTAATGACAAAATCCCTCACATAAATCTATTATATTCCTAAGTCTTTCTTCCACATGTTTAAACAATAAGAACTAGAGGGGCATTCAGTAGAGCACATACCTCTGCCACACATAATCGATTCTCAAAATATAGGAAAATGTGTCCGTATCTCCGTCATTAACAATGGACATGGACCATGTTTGGCAGGGCAATGAGGAATAATATTCTGCATATGTTCACCAAGATTCCTCAAAATCCAATTATTTTTTGACTGAGTTATAGAGCAAAAATAGTGTGAAAAATTGATCTCCATGTTAACAGATATGGAGTTTAGATTTTCATGACCTTGCTGTGACCTTGAACCTTCAAAAAATAATCACTTTTTTAAGTTGGGACATAGTCCAAATGTATACCAACTTTGATCCAAATCCATTTAGCTATTTGAGAAATCTTGCTGACAAACACACAAACAAACACATACACATTCACAGAGGGGTTAAAACATTACCTCCATCCACCTTTGGCAGTGAAAGCAATTAGAAACACTAATTTTAATTAGTTGATTATTTTTGCAACATTAATTGATTTAATCATAATATCAATTAATTGATTATTATTTTATGTGACACTAATCAATGTATTTAATGCACACAGATAATTGATTATGTCAATTAATCAAGTTAACCACCCAGCTCTACTCTCCAATACTGGTTATTCACAATAACACACGTTAAAATTTCCCTATACTGAAAAGGTATTTCCGATAATACTTACCTCCTCTCACACTACAACTTTATCCTGATGAAAGTTACTCTTTTTTGCCTATCTAAGCATTGTTATGAAGCTTACCTTTATACCCCACTATATTGCCTATAGCAAGTTAAATATTGTGATTCTCTCTCCACCTATATCAATGCACCCCCTATCCCAGATCTGCACATAAGCTCCCTGTTATTACTTCCTATTCACTTTTTCAAGACTGTCCAACATGGTCATTATGGGGATGAAAGGGGGGGGGTAATGCGAGAAGAGGTATTATCTACCTTTTCAGTAGAGGAAAATGTTAACTTTCAAAATATACTTACCTCTTCTCAAACACTAGCTAGAATCCCAAACTGACAAGAAGATGGGGCTGGTGTGGACAAGATCCACACAGAAAAGAGGTGTGCAGAAATAAGATATAGTAATAGCACACTAGTGGGGTCCACACTACTTCTGGAACAGGTATGCTCTTTGCCTGGATAACGTAAAATCTAATAAAGGCCAACCAACCACAGAAGCAAAACCCTAACATTGTGAGAAGAAAACATGAATTTAGGGACAACTATACCAGAACTGACCCGCTCCTACAATACCAGACATATCCAGTCCCAGTCAATCGACCAGCTAATGTACAGATCCTTCACACTTGATGAAATATTGTACATAACTTATGGGATTCATCCAGGCCCCAACCAGGCCGAAAACGTTCCACGTCTCGTCATTGGAACTATAGGGCTGTGGACCCAAAGCTAGATCCAAGGTGTAGTGACCAGGGCATGAGGACCATGGCATGGTATTACTGGATCCCAACTAGAAAGTTACAGAATGTTGCATGTTGAGCCAACAAAATTACAAAGTCAAACAACAGAAAAGTGGACAAACCCTCATCCCAACCTGAAGAAATGCAAAATACAACAAACCAAACTCGGAATTGTGGAACCTTTCTCGTCTCACTCAACATGAAGAAACCAAGATTACCTGGTTTGGAATTATGAACAGAAATCCTAACTCCCCAACCCAAGAGGCAAGACAACACCTCCTACCCCAAGAATTACAAGGAGGATGTGTAACAAACTAAGCCCAACCAATGACACAGGAATTGACATTACGCGTGAAGAATTACAAGGAGTCAAGGACACTCTTCCATTATCATCAAAAGGAAGATAATGACCAAAAAGAATGGCCACACTCAACTCAACTAGATAGCTAAGTGTCATCTCTGAACCAGAATTATGAGAAAGCTACCATGTAGACTAGTCCTGCTCCCACCATACATCTGGATTAACCATCCAGGATTATGGGTAGGAGAGCACACAGCTTCTCCGAGTAAAATAACAAGTTCAAGCCTCACTCAGGAGGAATAGACCTCTATCCACCACTCCAGTGACTGGAAACTGGGAGCGGTAAAAACACCCATGCTCCAATAGGAGAAATGGGGGATAACTCGCATTGGAGAGCTCCTAGGAACAATGTTCTGGAGACAATGCAATAGGTGAACCATGTTCCCTATTTTCAAAAACAAACTGACCCTAATTTATTCAATCCAGGCATGAGCAAGGATGGGCAAAATCCCCTTATGTCTCACTCATGATAGTCCATGAGTGGCAGCCCAGTAGTGTATATAATTATTTACCATCCAAAAAAGCCACAAGATGATCTTATGGAACACTCCATCTCAACAGAACTCATTGTACCAGGAAAATTTTTTATCAGTCTACTGGTAGCTAATGCAGATTTGGAAAAAGGCATATCTGACCAGGCAATACCTGCCACTGAGTGGGATCCAAATGAAAATTATGAGAGGGTCACTGGAAAAAATAGAAATAAACACAAAAGAAATGAAGTCATTCACCTCTCTCACAATCTAGCCATGATGTGGAGATTAGCCAAAGGTGTAGTCAAAAACCATCTAAGAAGGAAACTACCAAGTCATGTAAATAGTGAGATATAAATGTATTAGGCATAGTCCATAGATTAGCCTGTACAACCTCCTCCAGTGGGCGATACAACCGAACTGCCAGGGACACCAAGATATGGTGAACTTGATGAGATGAGACCCAAAGAAGTCTCCACTCCTCCAATGAAAGCTCAGAGTAAGCAATAAAGAATCCTGTGAACATGAATTGCAAATATATTCAAATGTGGATGTCCACTAGCCAACAACAGAAGAAAGAAGGTGATATAAGGAACATGATGCCAAAGGTTCAAATAGTGGAAGAGATAAGGCATGGAGAACCACTGTGAGATCCCAATTAGGAACCTGAAAGGAATGTTGAGGATGGATAGCTTGAAATAATTTCATAAGAAAGGACAAGACAAGGGACTCAAAAATTTTACATCTCCTAGAAGAAAGAAAAGTAGCTTACAAAGTTGCCTTATACAGAGAAACAGATGAAGGCAACAAACCTTTGTCAATGGATGAGATAAGGCATGGAGAACCACTGTGAGATCCCAATTAGGAACCTGGAAAGGATTTTGAGGATGAATAACAATCCTTTGTTGAATACCCATGTCAGAAATTGATAAATATGCGGAATAGCGGGACAAAAAGGATTAAAACCAGGTCTGAGAGACCACCGATGATAAGTAAACCATTTCCATTGATAAATGTCCAAAGAACAATGCTGAATGGACTGCGTTAAGAAAAATGCCATCCAAGAAGTCAATCCCTGACATTATGCAACATATCGCATAAAGGCCAGACATGGAGTCAGAGAATGGGTAATCACTGGATGAAAAATGTCCTACCAAGATTGACGTAAGAAAGTTGGCCAAAGATGAAACTGAAGAGGTTGTCATTCTTGAAGATACTGAAGGAGTGGAAACCAATGTTGAGTTGGCCAATGTTGCACACCAGAACAACTCAACAGAAAGAGGATTGATTCAGTGCAAGAACTTTGGATAACAAATAGACTGGACAGAGCACGTAAAAATAAAGAACCATCCAATCCTGTCTCAGAGCATTTATGCTCAAGCCAGAGGGTGAGGTACAGGAAACCAGAAGAATAGGAGCTGGGCATTACAGTGTGTGGCAAAAGCATTGATCTGAGACATCCTGAGAGGAGAGCAGATCCAACAAAAAAACTTGTGGATGAAACATCCATTCATTAGGAAAAATTCTGTTGGGATGAGATAACTGATCAGCCACAAAATACATTACACCTGGAACATGACAAGTAAGGAGAACAATCTGATGATTGTGGGTCCAAATGAGAAGATCCAATCTTTGAAAACAAAGAGCCCTGGAGTGAGTGTCCCCATGCCTGGAAATGTACAAGACTACTGTGGAATTGTCCAAGTGAAGCATTACCACATTCTCTTGCAATAATGTGAGACCCCATGACATAGCTCACTGAACTGCTAGAAGCTTTAAGAGATTGATGTGGAAAGAAGATTCCTCTTCTGTCCAGAGGTCCTTGAATTCCATATCCCCTATACAAACGCCCCAGCCCTGAAGAGAAGCATCTGTGAAAAGGTGTATCTAGATGTGAGGGAGGAAGAGGGACAGCTACTGTTGTGTTGTCCCTGTCCAAACCCCAGCCAGGATCAAGCAGGCTGGAAGCTGATAGAGTCATTGGACAATCCAGCACATCCATACAAATGTTTCATTGGTCCCATAACAACCACTGAAGGGAACACATTTGGGCCAACCGAAAGGAATGAGTGATTCTAAGGATGCCCACATTCCCAAAAGAGATAGAACTGCACATACCAGTGAAGAAGGAGACAACTGTATTAGAAGGACGGCCTGTTTCATGGCCTGTAGGTGTAGAGGAGAAGGTTGTGCCTAACTGAGAGGGGAATTTAAAAACACCCCTAAATGGATGAGGTACTATGAGGGAGTAAAAATAGATTTCACCATTTGATGAAAAAACAGGCTCTCACAGCTTTGGATAAAAAAAGCTTGAGTGTGAAGTTCTGTCAAGTGGCATGAAAAAATGAGAAGAAGCCAGTCATCCATGTAATGGTGAGTGTGTATGTCCAATGAGTGAAGATGATGTGAAAAGGACGTATGAGGTATATGCAAGGATGAATGGTAGAGTGTGAAACTGAAAAACTTGTTTCTTGTGCATAAAACGTAATCAGAATATAAGATAGGCATCAGTGACATTGAACTTTGTCATCCATAGACCACTTGAAAAGTGCCACTGAAGGAAAATAAATTACTTTATCATAAACTGAGAAGGCTGAAGGAAAATATTGAGATGGGAAAGTTTGATGACAGGTCGCCAGGCACCAATCTTCTTTGGTACTTCAAACAGACGAGAATAAGTTACTCAAAAGAGGTGTCAATGCACTCTAAAGCCCCTTTGTGCAGAAGATCCTTGATGACTGGATGTAAGAGGGAGTGGAAAGACAACTGATATGAGAGGCAATGGAGGAGGAGGCATGAAATGAAGGGCTAATCCTCTTGTAAGAACTTGAATGACCCACTGATCTGTGGTGAAGGTCTCCCATACTGACACGAACTCACACGATCAGACCCCATAGGGTAGTCACTGATGCCGTTGTTTGTGCTCCACATGAGTGGAGGGTACCCACTGATAAAGGTGGAACCTCCCTTGTATTCTGACACAGGAGGTATGGAAACCCTAATTGGAGATGCAGGAAACTGTCTGGTTGTTTGTTTGATTGGTGTTTTATGGTGCAAAGCAGCTAGGCTATCTGCGCCAAACAACCAGTAAAAGCAATGAAAGCAAATTAAAGTAAAATGTAAAAAAAAAACAACAGCGAGTTAAAATCAATACATGTCAGTAAAAGATTTATATAGAATTAAAAATACCTATAATGTGTAAAAAATTAAAAATACAATCTAATCAGACAGTGTCACCATTATCAATGACACTGTCCAGCATCAGGGGTAAACTTTTAGAAAAAAATGTGTCTAAAATGGTGCCGCCACTCACAAGTCTAACAACGGCACGACAGTATAATGTGGGCTATTGTGACTTGAGTGTCACAATGGCTACACATTCAAGCGTGGGGAGTAACCTCAATGGGTATATCCCCAATGGCCTTTGAATTCAAAAGAAGTTCACTGTGCTTAGGATGGGAAGTTTCTACTACGATGTCTCCAGAACGTAGCTTCTTAACTGACTTTGGAGAGCCAGCAAGCCCCTCTAAGCCCTTCTGAATAAAAAAAGGAGACATTTGCCCTAAAGATTTATCTGATAGTGAATGCATGATCAAAAAGCGAGGTACAGGTGTACTGTGTGATGGAGACTGCTGTTCGGAGTCTTCTAGGCGTGGTCGTTTACCAATAAGCAGATTTTTAACATTTTTTTTATTTGGAATGGGGGAATCCATAATTAAGGAGAGAGATTCAGTGCCCACTGACCCCACCCGCCATGGAGTCCTATGAGGGGACCCACTACAATGTCAAACAAGGACACTGCAGCAACGCCAGGGTTTCGTGAGCACTATACCCAAACACCAGTATCAGGCATGATGTCCACAACACCCGTTGAGAACGCCCAACACTGGTACTCAGTTGACCCTAGCCCCAGTGGATCAGCTGATTGACCCTAGGTGGCCACCCCAAGGCCACCCGTCTACAGGAATTCAAGGTCAAAGTGGTGTGTTGC